GTTTTTTTGACCGTTCTCGTGTAAAATACCAACCGCCAGTCATCTGGTCGAGATATTATTGTGTTCAATAAAATATTGTAATACTACCGGCATATTACTCCATCCGAGCTACGAAAAATACCTACCTGTATAATATATTATTATTATTACAGTGGGCCACGGACCGGTCACGATTCACCGCTACCGTCTGCCGGTGTGCACTTAAACTACCAAAAAAAAAAAAAAAACCTACAGCGAAGATGGACCGAATTGGTAATACCCCTCACGAGACCGTTTTTTTTTTTAAATATATTTTTTTAGGCTGTCTTATTCGAATAACACACACACACGCTCAGACGGTTATTACAACAACAACGCAGAGATTCACGCGAAATCACTTGAAGATTTTTCGGTAACCAACAAAGACAAAGTTTCTTTTCGGTAATATATTTTAGTACCTAACCTAGTTGGTTTGCCGTCATTCGTTTAAATCCCTCTCGACGGGTTTTAGGTTTACCGCGTCCAGCAAGTGCCTAACCAAATAATTACATTGTTAAGTACCTGTTGATCTTATCTACTAACGTTCAATTTGTAGACGAGCCAACCGTCTGCCTTTCGCTTGAATTTATAATGTTTTAAATAAAATTTAAAAAAAATTTGTTTCCAACGTCTGAATTGGTGGCTTCTTATTTTCTTACTGTTTTTCTTCAATTATTATTCTGCAATGACAATTATTATGTAATACACGTTAAAACGGATGATCAGTTAACTTGGCTTGGTATAACAATTTTTCCATCACGGTCAGCCAAATATTATAATTTTTAATTCTTTATTTCAATGTTGTTTTGGAATTCATGTCGTCTCGTGTGCCTTCTTTACCGACGGCTGGAGGATACGGTTAAGTGTACGATAAATTTACAAATTTCTACTGCAAGCCAAGCCGTACACGCCGTTTGTGTCGTTGCACTGCTCGTTAACCTAAGTGTTGCCTTTTAAAGGAGAACGGATTCCAAGGCCTGATAATATAACCGTCTTCTAACCGTCAAACTTTTCCCAACCCATCTATCACACCAGAATAACGCACATTAGACACACAGGTTTTACATGGAACATATTTTTTGCTTAAACAATTTTTTTTTTATAGATAATAATATTAGCTATGACTAAAACATGCAATCTAGATAAGACTATAAGTACTACTATGAGGGCAAGTATAGATTCATTTTTTTTCGATGCCTCGCTTCCCCATTCGCTGACATTTTTTTTTTTTACATTAAATAATACCTATTCAAGTCCAAACAGGTTCACAGAGATTACCAACAAGGCGAGACCGTGAAATCGTTATTCAATCGAACCGCAAACATTAGACCATCGAGTAGGCGGTACAATAATGATATTTTCTCATTCAAGTTGTTACTTAAGTTTACTTAAAACGGTCGTGAGCTTGGAAAACGCTATCTAACGACCAACGGCCACTTGGGTTGCAGCCGGAACACACGGTCCACATATTTAATATAACAGATCCAGTATTGTACTATTATTATTAATGCATAATAAATAATACACTCCTACTGTGGGGTTATTCAATATAGATAAATTATGAAGATGATAATATTTAGTTAGCCGGCAACGTCGTCGGGCCGGTCGATAAATTGTTTGCGTTATGATAATTCAATAATAAACTTACATGTATATTATATATACACACCGATGACTTGAGTCAAGAAAGCGTTATGCAAACCGTAAAACGATTTGTATTTTTTTAAACATCAATACTGAGCGAAACATGTTTTTTTTTTTTTTGAGGTCTAAGTAGATTTGTATTTGTAAGATTTATAGGAAATACTTTTGAATCATTCGCGTTGTCCCTTTGTTTGATTATTATTATGTTCTTCTTCGTTTTAGCCTTACACTCCCCAACTACATGTTGTCATGTTTGATTTTGATGTCACTGAACAATTTTTGGAAGTATAACATGTTGCTCTATTGGAAAGCAACAATAATTATTAAGTTGAAACCAATTTAAAAAATAATGTTTCATTGGAAATTTGTAATGTTTTAAAATAGTTGTAACATTTTTTTTATAAATATCGGTATATACTTACATCATGACCAATGTTGATAACATGTGATTAGATAATATTTTGACAGGAATATAAGCTCAATCAGCATAAAAATTAAAATTTTTCCAACATATTTTTGGTGAATACTTCTTAATAATTATTTAACCGAAAATTGTATTATTGTAGTTGTTATAAAATATTTTTGAAACATTAAAAGTCACATGTTGTCATCAAAATTCATACATTTCTTAATTTTATATAAATGTTATATAATACGTTGGAATACCTTCAAATGTTTTGAGCTGAATTTATTTGGTCAATAACGTTTTCAATTTTTTATAAGTTTTCATAAAAATAATATATTTATAATATGATTTGTAAAAAAAAATACAAGTACAATTTTGTAATTTAGTTGGAAATATCTCATCGAAGCAAGATAATATTTTCAATAAACTTTTACTATATTTAAAACAAAATTTTAAACCATGTTTGGCCGAAACATCAATTAGATATTAACGTAATTTCAGTAGTATTTTTGTATCTCCTAAGTTTTTACAAACCAACAAATTTTATTAACAAGTATTTCATGAACATTTCGGTGATAACATGTTTTTGATCAAGCTTTAAAGTATTAGTGGATATATATTGGATTTACATGTGTTATTTATTTATTTTTTCTATATAATTAATTTAATGCACTTTTTTATGTATACTTAACAGCGAGTAAGAAGCGACTGAGAGCCGAATGAAAATTACATAGGAAAAAAACCGTTTGTTTAATATTCTAATTTTCGAATGAGTTATTGCATTTGTTTTTGTTTAACGATTGACGAGGGCGTTTGATCATCATAAAAAAAAAATAGAACCTTCAACAACAACGCTCCGTTATGGGATTATAAAAATCGCTTACTCTGATAACGATACTTAGATAGAGTACTTAGATGCAGAATAACAGTATAATAATACTAACACTAGATAATATTATTATTATCACTACTGTAATAAATACATAGCGCGCCTATTACTTTTATTTTTTATGCGCGTGTAACGGATTTTAGTAATAATAAAAAATAATAATAATGGGCATCTTGGTCTTTTTAGAGTCGTGGGAGTGCAAAATGGAACGAGTCAAGGTCCCGAAAGAAGACACATAATAATATGTAGTGTATAATATATATACATCAAACGTGAGTACCATAGATAGATGTGTATTTATCGGGATGTGCAGAGCGAAAATTGCTAGGTTTTTTTTACACAAGTAATTTTGTAAAAAAAAAAAATTATGAAATTGCCAGAAATTGTATTAGCTAGAAATCGGTCGTGTCGTGGCGCTGTTCTTGATTGTTCATAGCAAACTATTTTGTTTTATCGAAAAGTGGGCTGCTGGGCTTGTGTATAACATATAATATTATAATATAATAGTAAAACTAGAAATAATTAAAATAATAGTTATAAAAGCGAAGGACCGTTGCGGTCGGGACGGGCGAGAAAGTAATGGCAAAGACACCGCAAAAGAAAAAAAAAAGAAAAGCAAAGACAACCGTTGCCGCTTTTGTCTACTTCGGTCGTGCAAGTCTAAATAAATAATAAAAAACAAAATTGGATCGAAATGGGCCTGTTTTTAACAGAAATCCAGAAAAAAATGTTGAATACTTGAGTGGTACGTTAAATATATTAAATTTAGGACAATTTACTGATAACGTTGACTGGTCGATAATCAGTTTTGGACGATTACTTTTAAAGGTATTTAAGTTTAAATTTTAAGACGGTATAAAAGGTTGGATGTGGTATTATTGTTATCTATGCACGTTGCTCTTAAAATTGGTAAAATCGACCGGTCTTAAAAAATTATTTTTAACTTAAAAAGTTGATTAACAAAAACTAAAAGGGATACAAAATTTGAATATGGTCTAACGTTGCAATTTAACAAAAACTAAAATGTCTCCAAAAAGAAATAAACGACAGCATTGCAATATTTTTTTAAGAGAAACCCGGTGTCTCGTCCTCAATGAACCACCCTGCTAATAATTATGCATTAAGTACATTCTAAACGTTAATAATTTAAACGGGGAAAAAAATTAAATATATATAAATATCACTAGCCATGTTTTTTTTTTTTTTTTTATAAGGATAAACCAGAAAAATAAAAAAATACAATTATAAACACACCAAGTCCAAAAATGGATTTGCTGAAAATAAGCTCTTTAAAATTGTACAAAACTTTATAACGTTTCCCTGAAGTACCCACTTTTTTAATTCTTGATTTACTTTATTTTCATTTATACTTAGTAGTTTAGTATGGATATTTGTTGGTAATAATTTATGTGATAGTCACACAGTTCTGGTCTTTGCAATTAAACTAAAAAAAAAGTATAAAACACGTTGATTATGTGCAACGTACATGAGCACATCTGAAAATGATTATCAAAAAAATAGTGTTTTTCATAAATATTTTAACCCGTGAGAGTCTTAACACATCATATTAATAAAGACATTGGACGTATATCGGATCCATACGAGAGTTTTTTTTAAATGTTTTTTGTTATCTATGCAATCTCAGTCAGAGTCGGTGATTTTTTCGTATACTCTAAGAGTGGACGTCGCACCTCGAAATAATAGCACCGAAATAGTATCCCGATGGGATTAGATTTTAAAAAATTAGACTTTTAATTTAAAAATCATTTGAACGATTACGCCATTTCTTCGTGCCATATCGTTCCACGACCAAACCGACTATGGAAAATTGATTTTACCCAATGCTGTTAAACTGTTTGCACCGTATACAGGGTGATCCGAATGACTGGCGACGAGGCCAACTCCGAGTGGCTCGTGAAAGTACCGGACGGGGGTGTTCGCCGTGTTGGCCCCACCACCACCACCACCACAACCGTCTTAACCGGCGTTGTGCTTACTTAAACTTTTGCCTACCGTCTTGTGCATATAAATAGTCCGGCGAACCCGAAACGTGCACTCACAGTACCACACACACCGTCTTGTGCGTCTCCGTCGATTGTACACGTTTGTAGCTGCTCTGCCGAATCGGCCAAATCATCACGTTGTATTTTTATTGTATAAATTATATTGCAATATTTAATTCAAACCGAAAAACGTTCGTTTTCAAAAGTTTCGGTGTTTTTGATTTTTTTGTACCGTTCGTTTAGGTCGTTGTCTCTCTGTTGCGATCGTGTCCACAGTGTCAGTGTGCTGCTAGTGTTGATTTGCAGCCAACAAGAGCCTGTACGGTTTCAAACATCACCGGTCGAAGGTAATTATTGATATTAAAAAAAAAAAAAAAAACAATATTCTATTTTTTCACCCAATTAATAACAGCTATTATGTAAAAAAAAAAACATAGACATTGAGTATAGAAAAATGCAATATTGTATGTTTTTTATTCGAGTTTGACATGTGTGAATTTCAGTAATTTTCTAAACGCCCAAACTATTTAACTGTTTATATGTTTTTCCATAATAGCTGTGCCACATAATCACAACATATGTGTTAGCTTAGTGCACACTTGTTATAAGTTACACAAATTACATTTTTTCTTTTTTTACATTTAATAAGATTGTACTACAAAGTTTCCATTGTAAATGTAAATATTGTAACAAAAATATACTTTTGAGATGTAAAGGACGTTTGTAAAAAATAAAATGCATTCAATTTTCTATCTATTGGTATGAAAAAGTGTATTTTGAAAAAGAGCGGAGAGATAACAAGTGTGCATATCCTTTTTAGATATCAAATCCAACGAACAATAAATATATATATATATATATACTTATTGAAATTTTAGCGAAAATGTACTTTTAAACGTTAATGGCCGTGGCTTGATAATATTAGTGTCTGGATGCCATTTTTTGCCCTTTTTTATAATACCAATTTCAAAAGATATCTCTGTAAATACATCAGAATCGACAAAACTATTATTGACCTAACTGTAACGACTCAACCCAAAAGCGTGGTTAGAATTTAAGAATAAAAATTATTGTTAAAACTATTCAGATTTTTTCATAATATCTGATCGTCGAAAATAGTGTTGTCTTTAATTATATGTATATTTTTTTCATTTGGCATTGATATGCTTCGCTTGGACTATAAATATTTTTAATTTTTTGTTTATTGGCCATTTTATAAACAATAATTGACCACGAAAACAGCAAAAATATTTTAATTATTTAAAAAACAATGATTTTCCAACGTGTTTTCAATAGTTTGTATAAATGTTTTTGGCGCGAAATTTAACGTTTCAAAAATGTTATTTAGAAAATACCGTTTAAATTTTAAACATATTTTTGACGTTGAAATTCTTGCCGAAACATAGTTGTTATAGAATTTGTTTTAAATAACTATTTCATTTTTTTTTTTTTTTGGGGGGGGGGATATACCTTGCTATAAACCTAACACCTTAACCTGACCTGACCTTAAAGCGTTATAAATGATCTGGAAAAAAATACTATTTTGCTAATTAAAACTTTCTTATGCGCAATATCGTTATGTTGTGCAACAAGTGTATATATATATATATTTACTGGCGTTCCCATTAACAGTAATATTATTATAATATGAGAAACCGACCCAAAAACGGCGACTGCCATTGTGGCCAGGTAAATCGCAATTAACCGACATTAATCGGTTGCAAAACGTATTGCCCAAAATATACCTTTGTTCGGGTCCGAAGCGTTATAGATATATTGTTTTAAGTATACATTCATAATAATATAAACCAGTACCGTCTGTTTAAACTAGAGCGGCGGTCCGACGACCACTTGGAGTGTGAGAGAATATTTATTTAATTTTTGTACATTTTTTTTTTTACTACTCCTTCAACGATAAGACAATAACACCGTCTGGAGGAAACGTTACGTGAACAGTCGGCGTGCGCGCTTTACCGAACTTGTTTTCCACAAAAATTACACATCTTGCCTGACCCAACGCGTCAAAGTACCAATAGAAATAAACACTATACTCGCCTTGTGATGCCATCCGTTCAAAATCGGACCAAAAAGTGATTTTTGGTAAGTGCACCTGTTTAGAAGAGGAGTGGGAGAAGGGCGTACTATCCCTAGGTCTATCCCTTTTTATTGTTTCTGGTAAATGTGTACTTTGAAAGTGCCGTCCCTGAGTTTAAAAGTGTTGTCTGGATCTTAGTCGGGCTGTATTTCTGGGTCGTCTATTTTTTCAAAAAAACAAAATCTCCACTCCACAGACATACGATAGGTTCCGGTAAACCGGCCTAAGTACACAAGTAGGTGCACTGTTATAGAAATTATATAGAAATTATTCGATTGTTGCGGCCGAAGGTGAACAATAATAATAAGTGTTCATACGGGTTTTCCTCATTAGATACAATCATGGCCGGGCTTAACCTTGCACACAGTCGTGCTCCTGAACTTAAAGACGGCCGCCACGAATTTTCTGGATGCAACGAGACCGGTTGTAAAACAGTAACAATATTTATCGCTTTAAGTCGTTGACCGACCGCCGATTTATAGGGTCGAGTTGGACAAAATAATAGTTATTCAATGTGTGACCCCGAAACTGTGTTAGTGCTGGCGATGCCAGGCTGCCGGGTTACACAATAGACAATGATGACACACCTGCTTAACCGAATATGATTCAAAAAGGGCTTTAGTCCACGACTTTATACTTTCAGGAAAGAAAGCCTTTTTTCGTATCAGTCCTTTTTACGATCCACGGAGTAGATGAGTTAATACAATCACAACACTGGTAAACTATTAAGTTAACATTACCAGTCTTCTTCATTTTGCTGTTTATTCTTCCTCTCAGACAAGTAGGTCAAACGAACACTCACGATCCACGTTTTGACAACAATCTACTTCATTAATATCAATGCATTTTTGACATTGAAACACACACCAGCTGTTGTTGATTCGAGAGCATTAGTTGTGTTGGAATCAACTCAGTTGAAGTACTCAGCTGGAGTATTTAATCGTTGTCGAGAACGCCTTAAAATTAGTGACGATGAGACAGAGTAAATCTAGATTTTATCAAAAACAAAAGCATCTTACATTTAGCTCAATATTTTAGCCATTTTAACATTTTCAAGAGTAGGGTCTATTAATGTTATATTTTTTAAATTTTTCTATTGCATTCACTAACCGAGTGTCATGTTTTTTACTACATATATTGCTTTTTTTTTTTTTTTGCTTGCAGGACGGACGACATGAAGACCTCCCACTTGCAGTTATTGTGTAAGTAAAATAAAAAATAATAATAACAACAATTGTACCGACGCTACACGTTAATTGACCGGTCACGAACGCGTTGGAGGAATATTGTATTACCGCTCTTAATTAGTCAACACTGTACAAAGTAGTATATTTTAATTATTCTCAGATGCATACAGATAGCACTAGTTAGGAACGTCTTGTTGTAAATAAAATTAATACTCGGTCGCGACAACTCGGCGGTAGTGCTCTTATACCTGTTCACTTGATATACATACATATACTATCTTGTCTGTGCCGGTCGTGATTGTTATTAGCATCGTTCGTGGCGGCATCCGATATTGAAAGCTCACGACTCACGTCCTTGGGGGGGGGAAAAGCTAGCGATTTTCGCAATACCATATAATATACCTGCTGGAGACGACCCACTAAAGGGGTTATCGCGGGTCTTCATCTGTGGGGAAAAACAGAATTATATATATATATATATATATTATCGTTACAACATTCAATTATTATTATTCGTAGATTTTTAATTTTTAACGATAGACTTTCACTAAAAAAAAAAAAAAAAACAACCAACCCAACGAAGGACCAAATAACGCTTTACTTGCATGTAAAATCCCAATCGACATCTAATAATAATAATAATAATAATAATATAGACTTCTCTCGCGGTAATATTTCACGCTTTGTATTTTTTTTTAAAATTATTTTTCATCTTAAAGAACACACACGACCCAGACACGGCGGTGCTGCTTCAGTACAAACATTATATCATTATCTCGTGCGTGAAATCGTGCGCACACTCTTCCTGCGGGTGTCTATTACTTAATTTTTCCAAAACCGAAAAACCGTTTTTACTTTGTCAAGGCTTTTTTGGTTTGTCGAATAAATCGCAACAGCTATAAATCGCGTTTACTTTTATTTATAATAATTATTAACGATGCCCAATAAAAACTGGCCATCTCGTTATACTGCATAGCGCAGTCTGAGATTTGCGACATGCTAATGAAGTGCATGTTATTGCATCAATGTTTATTTTCGTGGGAAAACGTGTTAAAAAAAATGCGCAGAGAATGAGGTCGTGTGTGTCGGATGATAATGGTAATGCTCGATTTTCACAAATTAGACATTGCAGACGGTCTCTTTGGAAACAACAATAGGCCAAATGTCATAACATTTCGAGCAACTCCCACTAAGGTCACTGAAAATAAATTCACACTTACTTATCCGACCGTCTAATTTATTACATTTTGTGTCTTAACCCTATTAAACCGTTCTCAAATAAAAATAACAATAATCACAATTGTTGTTGTTTTACACCGCACACTGTAGTGTATTTTCGTTTTATATGTTCCAGGCGCCGCACTATTGGCGTTTTGCCATTTTGCCGGGGTAAGTGTTAGCTTGGAAATAATATTTGTAGTGGTTTTCGTTTAATTACATTTTCGACGCAGGCACAAAATGGCTATAGCTACGACAAACCTGCGAACCCTTTGAACGGACCCAGTTCGCCACGGCCGTTCGGTACCTCGCAGCCAGCTCGGCCGACTGTTTCCAGCTTCCCTGGATCGTTTCCCAGCACCGCAGGATCGTATCCCACCTCTCCGGATCAGTTTGGCTTCACCGGACCAACGGGTTCGCCCAGTTACACCGGAGGCTATCCAACGACAATACCGCAACAAGATTACACCACAGCCAACTTCCCTGGTTCGGCGTCGTCTCCGGGTTTCGGCAGCGGCGTAACAGCTGGCCCCCAAAGACCGAGCTACGGTCCCACCGGACAAGACAGTGTTGGAGTGCCTCAAAGCGGAAACGGTTACGGCGGATCTGGTGGACCTAGTAGCGTTTCCGGTTCGCCGGGTTTCGGTTCCGGAAATGCGCCGACCGGTTTCGGATCTAGCTCGAGGCCAACCGGGTTCGGCGGACAAGGACCGAGCGCGTTCGGTTCTGGCAACGCACCTGGTAGTTACGGTAACGGGGCTGGACAGGGACCTACTGGTTTCGGTTCTGGCAATGCACCTGGTAGTTACGGCAATGGCGCTGGACAAGGAACTACTGGTTTTGGAAACGGAAATGCCCCAGGTTACGGCGGCAGTAGTGCACCAGGACAAGGAGGTAGACCGGGATCTAATGCATTTGGTATTGGAAACGCGCCAGGTACAAAATCAATAAGTACAATATTATAATGTAATATTGGCTTAGTTAAAACATGTTTTAAGTACATTTTTGACATAACTGTGCGCACTTTAAATGTGATAAAAAATATTCTTATTTCATTCACTAAAAGCGGTAAGAACAGTAAACAAATGTAAAGGATTTTTTAAAACGGTCTTCTGTAAAATCGTCATTTAGTACATACGATATTTTTTAATTAAGCCGGTATACTTGTTTAACAATAATTAAAATGTTTACAGCGTGCAAGAATTACTTGTAATAATTGTATTAGTATTGTTTTCTTATGCTGAACAAATTCAATGTTTGTTAAGGAAATTACGGAGGTGGTAATGCTGGTGGACAAGGACCAAGCAGTGCTTTTGGTGGAAGCTCTGGTGGACAAGGGCCAAGTAGTGCTTTCGGAGGAGTCGCTGGTAGCCAAGGACCAAGCAGTGCTTATGGTGGGAGCTCCGGCGGTCAAGGGCCGAGCAATTCTTATGGTGGTAGTTCCGGTGGACAAGGGCCCAGTTCTTCTTTCGGTGGAATATCCGGTAGTCAAGGACCAAGCAGTGCTTTTGGCGGAAGCTCCGGTGGACAAGGCCCAAGCAGTGCTTTTGGTGGAAGCTCCGGTGGACAAGGTCCTAGCTCTTCATTTGGTGGAATTGGTGGTAGTCAAGGACCAAGCAGTGCTTTTGGCGGAAGCTCCGGTGGACAAGGCCCAAGCAGTGCTTTTGGTGGAAGCTCCGGTGGACAAGGTCCTAGCTCTTCATTTGGTGGAATTGGTGGTAGTCAAGGACCGAGCAGTGCTTTCGGAGGAAGCTCCGGTGGCCAGGGACCCAGTGGTGATGGCGATGATGGATCATATCCAGGTGGTGACTTTTCTGCCATTCCTGGAGAACCAGGAACCGACTACCCAATATTATCTCAAATTCCTAAAACATCCTTTACATGCAATCAAAAGTTACCTGGATACTATGCTGACACTGAGACTAGATGCCAAGTTTTTCATATTTGCTCAAACAATATTAAATACGATTTTCTATGCCCGAATGGAACAATATTCCATCAACAACATTTTGTCTGTGTTTGGTGGAATCAGTTTGATTGCTCAACTGCTGAGAGTTTGTATGGGTTGAACGCAAATATTTATGATTATTCCAAAGTAGGTTCACCAGGTCAATCAGGCTCACAAGGCCCAGTTGCTAATTTCCCTGGACAATCCGGTCCCATCGGTCCAGTTGCCAACTTCCCGGGACAATCCGGTCCATTTGGCCCGGTTGCCAACTTCCCAGGACAATCCGGTCCATTTGGTCCAGTTGCAAACTATCCAGGTCAATCGGGTCCCATCGGTCCAGTGGCAAGCTTCCCCGGACAATCGGGTGCAATAGGGCCGACCGCCAACTATCCGGGACAATTTGGCCCAGTAGGACCAACGGCCAACTACCCAGGACAGTCCGGTCCAGTAGGACCAACCGCCAACTACCCTGGACAATCTGGTCCAGTAGGACCTACTGCCAATTACCCGGGACAGTCCGGTCCAGTAGGACCAACCGCCAATTACCCTGGACAATCCGGCCCAGTAGGACCGACCGCCAACTACCCTGGTCAATCCGGTCCATTAGGACCTAGCGCTAACTACCCTGGACAATCCGGTCCAGTAGGACCTACTGCCAATTACCCGGGACAGTCTGGCCCAGTAGGACCTACTGCCAATTACCCGGGACAATCTGGCCCAGTTGGACCAACCGCAAACTACCCTGGACAAACTGGCCCAGTAGGACCTTCTGCCAATTACCCGGGACAATCAGGTCCAGTAGGACCTACTGCCAATTACCCGGGACAGTCTGGCCCAGTAGGACCAACCGCAAACTACCCTGGACAATCAGGTCCAGTAGGACCAACCGCCAATTACCCGGGACAATCCGGTCCAGTAGGACCAACCGCCAACTACCCTGGACAATCCGGTCTAGTAGGACCTAGCGCTAACTACCCTGGACAATCCGGTCCAGTAGGACCTACTGCCAATTACCCGGGACAGTCTGGCCCAGTAGGACCAGCCGCAAACTACCCTGGACAATCTGGCCCAGTAAGACCTACTGCCAATTACCCTGGACAATCTGGCCCAGTAGGACCAACCGCCAACTACCCTGGACAATCTGGTCCGGTAGGACCGACTGCAAACTACCCGGGACAATCTGGTGGAGTAGGACCGACCGCAAACTACCCGGGACAATCTGGCTCAACTGGTCAATTCGGCAACTACCCCGGACAGTCTCGACCAACCGGACCTTCCGCTAACTACCCTGGACAATCGCCTTCGAGTGGATTCCCAGGACAACGTCCAAGCAGTTATCCAGGGGCTCAAGGCCCGTCTTCGTATCCAGGTTCGAGCTCTAACGGACGACCGAGTTCGCAAGATTCCTATGGTAGTACGGACACAGGTTTGTCGTACGGCCCTCCCGGTTCATCGCCAACGGCCATTCCTGGAACAACTTCATCCCTATCGGACGCACAATTTGTAAATAATTTCAACAGTCCACCGGTACCCGAAAGAGAATATTTGCCACCTTACAAAAAATAATGATCCAAGCTCAAAATTGCCATAAAACTTAGGTTTATTACCACATATTGATTACTTAGAGTAAGTTTTTTAATTTTATAGTGTTCTTGAATTTATTTTTTCTATCATTATTTAAAAGCCACTTATAACGTTTGAAAACCCCGAGAGGTTGTATTTACAAATTTAGTGATTGTACATAAAATGATTTGTTTAATACTTACTATGATATTTTATACCTAACACCCGATGTTAAGATCAACCAATGTTTTACCATTATATTTTAAGTTTATTAAAAAAAAAATACCACTGAATATTTTTCTCTGTTGTCATTTTAATACTGCAATTGATTTAAGTGATCTAATGTTTTTTTTCATACTAATCTATTTATCTTGTTTAATCTTTAAAGTTTTATTGTACTATGTTACCATTTACTTAGGCATCGAGACAATTTTATACATAAAATATAAGTATATTAAATTGAATATTATCGAGTATTGATTTTGGAAAAATGAATGTCTTATTGTTATTTTGACCGTGGTAAATCTATTACATGTGAAATTGGATTTAAATATTTTATTCTAACGGAAAAATTATTTTCAGGGACAAAAATGACTGTGAAACCTCAAAAACAACAACAAGCATAATGTTACCAAAAACAAATAGTAGTTCGGTTTATGGAAGAAAGAATATATTGTACAAATAAGAACCATTTCATTTTACCGGCAAATGAATAGATTTCCAATATTCAAATCTACGCGTCGTTAAAATATCTGCTTATAATATTCATATTGCAAATTGAGAGAAATTTACAAAAATACTGTCAGTATACTGAAAGTAGTAAAATTTAGAATTTTGGATTGAACTCTATGTGTCTAGTTCAACAACATTTTGGGTATGGAAAATATGATTTTCTCTCTCTGGGGGAAAGTCAGGGAATTGTTGAACTGAAAAAGTGTAGCAAACATGTTAAATGATCTATACCGCCTTGAATTGCACTTAAAATGTATGTTAATTGACGATATAAGACATTTAATCGAGTCGTTAATTAATAGATGAAATTATGTAAAAAAATAATTTACAATTTTTTATCGGAGGTCTTTATTTAGAGTTTGAACAAATGATGTTATAAGGTTTGCCTAAATATATACTAGTAGGTAGTCATTATTTGTGTGTGTCGAATAGTATTGAATCAGTGTTAACAATTTAATTATATGTTTCACATATATTTCATTAATTTTAGTAGAATGGTCAAAAAACAATAATAACGCTAATAAATACAACCAAACGGAATCTTAAAATTGTGTACTTGTATTTTATTTTCACGCTTAGTCCCAAATGTTTCAAATTTTTCATAGCCGTTACAAAATATATAAAATTTCAAAAATGTACACAATATATGAGAAAGGTACACATTCATTTTCTTTGTGTTCTACACACTGGGATTTATGAAAAGTTTTATAAAAAATCAAATGATTTAGAGCAGTATAAAATAAAAACATCTGTGTATACACAAATGTTGAAATACACACGTTTCTAACCAAACCGTTTTAAACTAAAAAAAAAAAAAAAAAAACACCAAACCGATATGTTTGTACGGTTTTTGTACAGCAAACAGTACTCGTGTGTACTTTTGTATAATATAATAAACTTGTGCAAAAATGCAATTCAAAAGATAGCTACATCTGAACAGTTCAATAGTCACCGTCATATACTTTGTTGTACTTACATGTACTCGTTTAACTGACGGTGAAATCAATTCGTTGTGTCACACAAAGACTTTAACTTCAGCATGATTTCCAAGTTGTCTATTGTTGTAATATATTCGATTGTAGCTGCTAGCTGTGTTATTATAGCTGTACTTGCACCGAAAACTGACGAAGAGGTAATTTATACGTGCAAGGTTAAATTTTTTCCACAAGAACTTGCAATTTTTTATGGATATAAACTTTATATTGACAAAAAAAATAATGTTCAGGTCGTACAAGTGTCGTTCGACGATTGTTTAAAATGGGCGAACAACGGCAAGGATCCCGCACCTGATCATATACTAACAGTGGGCATGTTAATCTCTTATTTCGGTGATCGTTCTGACAATGATCTAGGGATCGTTGAAGATTGCTTCGCGGCGGATCCAAGTACACGAATTTTTAGATAAATAAAAACATAACGTTTTGTAAAAACAATAGGTTGTGATATTATTTGAATTCTAATTCTAATTGTATTTTTTTTTTTTTTAGCAACAAGTATAGACAAGAAAAAGTATGGTGAAATTTTAAAATCATTTTGCCAAAGACAATACCCTAACCTGACGTTGGAAAGATGCGCTGAAAAAAAAAAGAGTGCAGCCATATCGACGTCTCTGGAAGAATTGAAAAGTTCTTATATTCGGGATATAGTATGTGATGCATTCGAAACTCAAAAATAAAGGTTACAAAAAAAAAAAAATTATCAGACAATTTATAATAATAATAAAATGTATTTTACTGCTAAACCTTTAGTGGAAAATTATCATAAAATCATAAATAAAATAAAACATTTATCCGAAATATAAAAATATTGAATTTTTTTTTTTTTTAATTTTTTTTAAGTATAACGTCTCATAAAAGCAATAAGAGCAGTTACAAGTTAATAACAATTGTGTGTTATGATAAATTGCTCTGAATATTGTGACAAGTGTGTAATGTCGTTTTTGAAAAATGAGATCCATTTCAGATGATCATATTATTACAACGGGGAATATGATCATCCACTGGATCCATAATATGTATTTAATGGATATCCCCTGGATTAAATTATGTACTTTATAAGGTGATATTATTTAGCTAATTTTTCCACCACTAAATCAGTTTAGCGGTTTCGACTTATTTTGATAGTTAATAAATCAGATTAAACTGTAAACTCGGTCTCCTTTTAATTGAATACAATTTTTCTTTATTATTATATAATATAATATTATATTACAAAGTTCAGAAAAACGTTAATGGTTACTCGGTAAGTTATCGAAATCGCATTGAAATAATTCTAATTAACTGACAATAATCGAGTACACACAATAATACAACAGTTTTTATTTACAATTAATATAAAATGTACACAATAGTTATATGATAATACACCTACATGGCTTGTAATAAAACTTAAATGGTACACGAGTAAGACATAAACATAGAATAAGATTATTATAATATATAAGTATTTGGGCTGTATAATATTATAGAAAATAAACAGTTAATGAAGCATTCAGAATCATTGCATAATGTTGTTATCGTTTAACAATTTTTTTTTGTTTTAAACAATATCAGAATGAAAAATAAAAACATTTAAAGATAAAATATATAATAATTTTTAAGTACAATTTACATAGCACAACAATAGTAACATACTATTATTGTTGTTTTTAATTTAAACATAAATATCGAATAAGACGTTTTACAGCTGGTAGTCTACTTTTGATATATGAGCAAAATTAAAATTAGAACAAAACCTTAAGGCTACAATATTAACATAACGATTCGCCGAGGACTAGAGTCAATAGACATGGTGTGCTCTTGAACATAATAATGTTACAATATTCTAATTAAGTACTAAATATGCATCGAGAATGGCGATTTACATATGAACCCCATTCTATTGGAGCCTAGTGACAATCATCTATTTCGCAGGAAAACCGAGCTGGAAAAAAACTGGTAGGGCAATACGTTACATCATAATATATCTTTATGTATACAAAGTTTTTTTCAGAGTTGACCATATTTGTATTACAATTTAGGACGGACGAATCTGATGGTAAATTTTCATTAGCAGCCAAGTACGTTGACAGTGATCGTGGAACTAGGATTTCAAATATAGCGACTGTACGAGAAATTGTATTTACAAATAGGATTTCTGATTGTGGTTGGATCCATAGCATCGCATATTAACCAGATTTATAGTCTAGACGAATGCCAACGTGGATAGGGGTCCGAAAACGATCGAACCAATAGCCGATCCAATATTTTAGACGTTTTCGCGAGTGTCTTATTGTTGCCATTTAAAAGGCAACGTCGTCGAAATTATAATAGTAATATACAGAATTAAATTTAAAAAATACATTTGATTCGCACATTTATATATGACACGGGCAGTACACCGACCAAATGGGCCGAGTCGAAAAGTCTATGGCCACTTGGAAGCGATTGAGTATAAAGATTTCAGCAGTTCAACCGCTCTGGCGTCGGACTCGTCGCTCAGGCCAGGACCGATGTCGTTGGCCCCTTGCCAAGACGACGTTGTCGGTGCCGGCGTAGTAGTGGTGGTGCTGGTCGACCGACTCCTGTGCACGACTCTTCTCCTGGTGCCTTTCCGGGCTTTCCTGTGCTGCTGACCGCTTTGGACGGGAGTGCCGTCGTCTTTGAGCCGTTGACCGAACGGAATAGCCGAAACGTCGGCAGAAGGTGCAGGATCCGTGGGATTGCCAATTGGCGTGGCGGTGGTGGTCAAGTAAGCCGCCGTCTCGGTGCTCCTGTTTTCCAGCAACGCTTCGATGATGTTGTTCCTGGTCTGCTCCGGATCGTTGTCCTTGTTCGGATCGTTGACCAACAACAGCACCAACCTGTTGAACAAGTAATAAATTAACGAATACACAAGGATGGGTCTAAAGGAATGCATCAACTGTGGAGTGAATGAGAGAGAACAGGCTGAGATGGTAGCTCTCAACACTTGCTCTTCTGCACGTATCATCTATTCTATTTACAATACTTATCGAATAATGTCATACCGTTTAACCGTGTCGTTGGATTCAGCAGTCTTCATGACGTTGATCAAAATGCCAGCTTCCGTCTCGTTCAGATGGCCGAACATGTCTTTGGCCCTCTGAACGATAGCGGTGGTCTCTAAATCTAATGGCGACGGTGTCGTGAAGTAAATGGGCGATTGAGTAGTGAAACGGTCTTCTTGGCCGTTGCCCAACGCGGGGGACGCGGTCCACGTTAACGAGTTGATGACCGAACTGAGTGGTTTGGCTACGCCTACGATGGCGTTGTCTCTGCTGGCGAAGAACGACTGGCTGCCGGCGGTCTGCAGCTGTTCACTGTCGGCTGGTGGCGCATACTCTTGTACACTGCCCGAAGAAGCAGAAGTCCCAGCGTAGTTGGACGTAATGTCCACCAGGGGCGACGTGGTGTACTGAGGCACGATGGTAGACAGATCGGCCAGAGTGGTTAGGTCCTGCGTTATGCCGTTGACTTCGGCAGCCAGGCTTATGGGCGACGTGGTGGCCGCGGTGGTAGTAGAGGCGGCGAGTTCGGGTTTTTTGCTTCGCCGGTTCTTGGAGTCGTCCGAGAACTCGAGCACCTCTTGGTCTTCGACGGTGCTGGATTTCGAGCCGGGAGGTTCGGTCGGTCTCACTTCGGACAGTATCTTGCGGAAGTTTTCCGGGTCGTCTAGGTACGCGGTCAGAGCGCGCGTGAAAACCGCGGCCAATTCCCTGAGTTCGGCGGAAGACCTGTTCAGCACCAAGTTTTGAGCGAAGTTGTTCACCGATTTGCTGGCTTCGTCCATTTCGCCCACGGCGGACTTATTGTCGGCCTCGGTCGCGGTCTCTTTGCGCGTGTCGTTTGGAAACAATTTGTCATAAGCCTCCTTGGTGGTCTGCGTCAGCACCGCGGGCAGCTGTAGGTTCTCGACGGACGTGGTCGTCTCTTCGACCGAGTCCGCTTCGTCGGACTTGGTGGCGCTGGTCACGGTGGTGGTCTGCGGCGAGCCGTTGTTGAAGTACAAAGCCACGGAATTGAGCTCTTCGTCGGTGTTTCGCTGTTGCTGGTAATTGTTTTGGCCGTCCGCGTTGTCGTACAGGCTGTTGTCCGTCAGGGTCTGCAGGGAGTTGACCATGTTCGGTATGAGAGTCTCGCCGGACGGTGACTCGGTCGAGTTGTACACGGTGGTCGTGTAGTCGAAAACGGCGGTTGTGCTGACCACACCGTTGTCCGACGACTGTTGGAACTCGGTTGTCACCGGTTGATTGGCTTGTGTGTTGTGATTTTCGGGTTGGAAACCGTAATAGCCTGAATTTTGATTTGCGACAAACGAAGAAGATTCCGCCGGCTGTTGACTCTCTCTGGCCGCGACGGTTTGTTCGGTGTATGACGACGGCAAAGATGTGGTAGTGGGTGGTTGGTACGACTGTTCGGTTTGATACGTCGGCTGTACCGGACCCGTTTGTTGATTCCAATTCGATTGGGTCGCCGTTGCGCTAACGGTCGGTTGGTTTTGGCTGGTCGGCACGTTACCAGAGCTTTGGTCCCATTTTCCGTTGGTAACCGCCGGACTGGGCGACTGGTATCCGTTATTCGTCGGCAAGTTGTTGGCGCCTTGACTCCAGTTGTTGCTGACTTGCGACGACGCAGTGGTCGGTTGTGACTGATAAGCAGGTTGGAAGCTGCTTGCTTGGTTCCAGTTCGATTGGCCGGCTGTAGTGAATTGAGAATGGTATCCTTGTTGATAGTAATTGCCGTTGTCTTGGTTGACAGCTGGGTTTACCGTGGAAGTAGGCTGTGCGTTATAATTTACAGACTGCAATCCGCTATTGGCGTTATACTTCCAGAAAGGTTGTGCTGCGGTTGTCGATGGAGTTTGGTAAACGCCAGATTGGAAGCCGTCGTTGGCGTTTTGAGTCCAAGGTGATTGCGCAGTTGTGATTTGCGTTTGGAAGTTATTATTGTTATTGTTACTATAGAATCCCTGATTCCAGTTCGGTTGAACGGTCGTGGACGGCGTTTGATAGTTTACAGATTTAAAATTATTGAAATTGTTCCACTGGGGTTGAACGGTGGAAGACGGTACTTGGTATACGGCAGGCTGTGGGTTAGCATTGTTGTACCAATTGTTCGCGGGCACGTTGGACTTTGAATAATAGCTATTGAAACTTGCCTGGTAGTTGTTACCGCCGACGATCGAACCGGATTCGGCGGGTACTTGATTTTCTCCTTTCAGCGAATCGCCAAAATAACCACCCTGATTCTGCGGTAATCTTGATTCCGAATTGAAAACCGTAGTACTTGGCCCGAACGAACGCTCGGTCACAGTAACGCTATTCGTGGGCAGTGTGGTTTGCACTCTCAGCATTGATTTCGACTGCGCCTCAGTTCGCTGTTTGAAACCTCTTTGGTCGGCAGCCAGCAGCTCTGCGCTCTCTTCGTACTGCTCTATTGACCGTTCGCAATCCACCCGGAACCACCAGTCGCATATCAAATGAGACTGCCGGAAAATCGTACCGTTAGGACACAAAAACGAAACCTTCCTTCCGTTGTCGCATATGTGGAATACCTGTGTAATGAAAACAAAGCAAAAATTACAACCGAAATTTATACCATTAGGTATTTTGGAGAGTGTCTTCCTTAACCCTGCGACGGCCGACCATGACGATCTTACCTGGCAATCGGTCTCCAAGTCTGCGTAGTAGCCCGGTTTTTTCACTTTCTTGCAGCTGAACTCGGTGTGCGGAATCGAAGACAGTATGGGAAAGTCTACGCCCGGACGACCCATCACGCCTAGAGGTAAAATGTGAGTATATTACAATCGTTACACAAACGTACCAACCCCAATTATAGATCCTGTGATTACCTTGATAAGATTGAAAATCCTCGTTGGTCGCGCTCTGCAACTTCCTGGGTATCCTCTTGAGACTTTGCCGCTGCTCGCTGTAGTTCTTTTCCACATCGTCAAAGTCTTCCAAGTACGTGGCCGCTCTCAGCGCTTCGGCCACTTGCGGCAAGTCGTCGGTGCTCTTTATCGACAATTTCGCCTGAAAACAGCACGTTGTCAGTGGTGACAGAATTGAAAGAACAGCAGCACAGAGGGATATTGAACTGGCGAGTATTTAGGCAAAGACGTGATGTTCTGTTATTATATAAATTTGCGTTACACGGGTCGGTGGAACGGGTAGAAGCGAACCGATCGAACTTGAATCGACACCGCACAGCCACGGCCGTTTTCGGACGATTTCGTGCCGCCAGGTGGTTTTTCGGTCACGACAAACCGATATTTCTTCAGCCCGGCCGAGAGAAGGTATAAGACGGTCCGATGGGAACCGAGTTTGTTAAGGAAAAATATATTACACTACCGACGACGACGACCGCATGCGGCAGAGGGAGACCTCTCACGAACACGTGGTCCTATGCTATAATAATGTTATTTTTATCCGGTAAACTTTTACTCGGTTCCAAACGCTGTCCTCGAAAATTGCCATTAAAAACAAAAAAAAATCCCATAAAAAGAAATACTACACCTATTCCAATGGCACGTGCGGAGGAGATACAGGTGTATAAAAATAATTTTATAAAGGCAAACGTCAAAATGACAGTTCGAAGTACTTATCCGTTCAAGGCCGGCCATTAAAACGCGTTGGTTTCAAGAGATTTCTTCGATACACTACTTACGGTTAAAAAGCCTATGACTGTATAATAATCGTTATGGGCTTAAACGATTTCGCTAATAGACTTGCAGTGAGTGAAACTTAAGCGTTAGATGATTTCGCAGTAGTTCTACTTTTGTAGTAGACCTACAAAGTTGTTGAATTTGCTGACTCAATCTGAAATTTGCAATTCGATTGAACCAACCTCACCGTTGAGCGAATGTACTTTAATGTTTTATTTTTCATATCATGTTCATATATATTTGCCAATCTATTTTTAAAATCCATAAAGGCGCGGCCATTTCTTCGAGTAAATTTTTATATTTTCGTTTGTCAGCACTTAAAAACGGCGCGTTTTTTTTTTACCAATCCAATTATTATTATTATAAATATCATATTATGCAAATAATCGTTTGCGTTTTCCATAACTTTCGGCAGCTCGAAAGTACCAAAAAAAAATATTGTTAAGGAGACAAAAAAACCACGAAATTATGCGAAAATTATTTCTAATTATTATTATTAAAAAAAAATACCCAAGTATTGTGCTCTGCCGACCTCTGTTGTTGACATTATTATAATAATTGAATTATTATCATAGGCAGTTGTGTGTGCCGGACAGGAAACCCACGTCCGATATGGTCATAAGCACTGCATTTAATGATTTTTTTTGTCAAATTATCGCTCTTGTGGTTTTTTTTTTAAGAGGGCCAAATTATGGCTCGCGTGAAACGCCTAATTGAATACACATAATGTTCCCTGGTTAATAACACTCTGTGTGTGAACACACTGTATAATAAAATATGTTCTGTGTAGATAACATAATATAATATTATTTCTTATACACACCGGGGAAACTACCGTTTCACACGAACCGCATTATTATTAGCACACCGGCGAGGCTTATCGGGTTTTTCCATTCTATGTACATCTTCAGCACATACCTTCTTGTAGTACTTGCTCGAGCACTTGAGGTTAAAGATCTTTTCCGGTCTCAAGTTTGTTACGATAGTAAATGTCACGCAGAAATTAAAAAAAATATATATATATATAAACAGGGTGATCATGTTATCGCGAACCGCTCAATAACCCATTGGGTTTGATTAATAAAGAGGTTTTTTTTTAAAAATAAAATGTGATCTCAATTTTCCCAACCCCTTCCCAAACTAAATAATTATTCTTATACCAACTTTTAAAACTTAAAACGGTAACGCGTACGTTTCATTAACTTTGTATAAATTATGTACTGAAAAATTTGACTGGAAGGTAATAGAACCAAAAAAAAAACTGATTTTATTTCTACTACTCGCATGGTAATAATTTTAACACTGTTAAAATGTATTTTAGTACTTAAATATAATATTTATATTATTATAGTTCAGAAATTATTTAATAATTTTTATTGACTGAGTATACTAGTAATATATTATAATAATGATCAACACATTTGATGAGGAATTTCTTTATTATTATTATTATTGAGTATTTAGAAAACAATAGAAATGACAACTTCGAGAACTCATTATTAAGTAAGTAGAAGTTATTTTTGTGTAGGTAAATTAGGTAAAAAGGAATGGCATAGACTTGGATTATAGGTTCAAATATCATAATTTATTGTATTTTCTAATTTAGATAATATCATTATTATGTCTTGCCTGTTCTGAGTGTAACAATGGAAATAATTCTTATAACCCAATACTTTTTTTTAGGCTTTCAAAATAGAAAAAAATATTTTAATGACCACTAAACAATGTGTTATAAAAATTATACATAAATTACTTATAGAAACCGCAACGTTAAAAGAAACTGATAGCCAGTTTTGAATGACTATTTTCAAAACTTTTGAAGTTTAGGGTAGGATGTGTAATATTATTTTTCCTAAGTTTCAAACTCTTATAGCTTTAAAAATAGTCATCCAAAACCGGTCATCGACCGATTTCTTATTAAACCGTATGAGATATTGAGTGATCCAAGTTAAAATGACCACACTGTATAATTTAAATGCTTGATATTCCTAGACAGGCATTTGAAAATGTTGAGGTTCGGGTTCGGGGGAAAAATCTTAAAATATAACAGTAATAGTGTTTATGATTTTGAAAGCAATCTTCGAACAACTAGCAGTACTCGTATAGTTTAGTCTGCTGAATTATAAATAGCACTTCAAAGTATTGAGAATAGTAAAATTAGTATAATACACTTCGATGAGGTATTGTTTACCTAACCTAACCTTACCTCGATTCCAACGTTTTCATTGGTTATTAAAATATGTGATAACTGATAAGTGATTGTATTTTTCAATTTGTCAGTTTGTGTTATTATTTGGCATTCAATTTTACTTTCTTTTAACGTTTCGGTTTATATAAATAATTTATGTATAATTTTTTGTAAACACATTGTTTAGCGGTCATTAAAATATTTTTCTCTATTTTGAAAGCCTAAAAAAAAGGGTAGGTAGTGATAAGAATTATTTCCATTGTTACACTCAGAACAGGCAAGACATAATAATGATATTATCTAAATTAGAAAATACAATAAATTATGATATTTGAACCTATAATGCAAGTCTATGCCATTCCTTTTTACCTAATTTACCTACATGAAATAACTTCTGTTTACCTAATAAAGAGTTCTCGAAGTTGTCATTTTTATTGTTTTCTAAATACTCAATAATAATAATAAACAAGTTCCTCATCAAATGTGTTGTCCATTATTATATATTACTAGTATACTCAGTCAACAAAAATTATAAAACAATTTCTGAACTATAATAATATAAATATTATATGTAAGTTTTTTTTTCAACTTTTATAACTCATACTGACCCTATTTTTGTAGAAAAACTTAAATTTCTACTTCAAACAATATATTCTCAAAAGTACTCGGATTTAAGTTGAAAGTTTTTTTATTGATTTTTCAAATATAATAAAAAATGAAATTGGATTGAAAACGTTACCAAGCCACAATGTACACTATTCGTTATAGCTACCAGACAATTGTATTAGTAAAAAAAAAGATTTTCAATGTCAAGTTATGCCTTTTTGGGACGACACCCACGGTTCGTTGCAGTGTCAATATATTTTATCGTTTCAAAATGCATAACATAACATTTTGTTCTTATTTTAGTTTGTAATCGTAACTATGTAATCGTTGAGCTGAAATATTTAGCCAATAAAGGCTATATAAAACAAAAACAAAAATGCTTTCAATCCCTATCACAATACCATAACGTGCATAATGTTTCCCAGACTTTTTTTTTATAGTATTGAGAGTACAGTTCTCATGATAAAAACCGCGAAACAATGACGATTGCACTGTGCCGGTGGATCAACTAATTACATGATGATGGCAATAATAATGTTAATAATAATAATTATTACTATTGTTACTTCCGAGACACGGTTCGTATAGTGGTGGTCTCTTGCCCACTGGGTCTGAGGTAATCACGCCGGACGGTCGTTAGCAAAAAAAAAAAAAACCCGGCAAAAACGTGTGAAAAATTACAATGTATGAAATGTGAAAAAAAAAAAAAAACAACCAACACATATTTCAATGTAGTGCGCCACGAAGGAGCTGATATAGAAAAAGAGAGGTGCTCGGACAACACAATAGATCATCGCCGGCCCGGGTCGTGTGGAGTAATAATAATATTATAACAACATTATTATTATTACCATCGTTGACCGACATAATCGCATAACCCGGTTATTGTTGCATAATAACAATAACAATCCGTATGGGAGAATCGTATTGTACTTAAATACGAGAGACGCGTTTGGAGACGTTACGCCGCGGATTCGTCTCAGACCAATTAATAGCGAAACAATAAAAAAATTAACGCTAGACCGTTCCAATTGTAATTATTATTCTCATTACCTACTCCTCTACAGCTGATTACGTTGTCCTGTCATTATTTAACTATCCGTTTCCTGTTGCCCGCATCACAACAGTCGTGTGCCCTAAAAGGCTTTAGAAAAAAACATAGCGACATTTTTCGGACACCTGATACGACATACAGAAGACCAACAACATCTACAGAGCGTCGCTAGCTGTACGAATTACAAGACACCGAAACAAAAATGCTAAAGACCAGTAGCATAGCCTTGCTCCGAAGAGAGAGATAATCCATTAAACAGACCATCGGTATATTTTAACCGTGTCCCACCGACCTATCCTAAGTGTTGAGACTTTGGAGAATCGACTAGCGTGCATCATCTAAAGGTCAGAGATTTTTACAATAGTCTTGGGTTGTTCGAAATGTTAACATCTTTGTGCAGTGTCCCAAACGCGCAACAGTGAGATGTGATGACCACGTGTCCATTTGTTAACCGGTGCCATCGTCCATCATCATTGCTGGCATCTGCAAACTGTTAAAAACGAATTCCGTTTGAGTTATTGTTTCAAGCGGAGCCGAATAAAAGAAAGTACCGCGGCAAAATATCTACAGCAATGACGGTTCTGAGGAAACAAAATATTATGTTATAATTGCATAACGGCCTCGTTGTGAACACATAGAAAAAAAAAATTACAAGTTATTCTATAGTCTATCGTGTGGGCTTCCGCTAATGTGATCGAATAATGGAGTGGTATTTTTTTTAGTTAAAAATGATCTATGCAGTTTTAATGGATAGTCTTCGAGACAATGGCTATGCAACGGATTCGCCGAGGAAACTACTAATACGGCTGTTAATGGGCGGCGAGTCGATGACAGTGAACAAAGCGTTGCACAATTTGAACCACTCGTTCCAAGAGCGGTCAGAAGCCATCGACCGATTTTTAGTTTGGTTCAATTTGTTTAAATTATACTATCGATAGCTGTAATCATACCGAACGGTGTTTAATACACTGTTGTCCAGGCAATTCAAAACAAACAGTATAGAGTTGATTATTTTTATTATTTAACGACCGAATACCTCCTAATCAAGTCGGCACTGCTTTTGTCAGCATGTCGTTGGCGTTTGTGTCTTGGATTTATGTTTACTCGTGCGTAATACTGGTGTTGCTGTACAAACTTTTTGTAAGTATTACCACCCCGTTGTTGGTGTATTCTGTAGGTGTGTCATTTTTTTTTTTTTTCGACGGAAACATCTCTCAGGTCGGCGATAAACCACCGGCAAACCGGATTGTCCGTCCGCGAGAGAACACCAGCAACACGATGGCGTACGACGAACCCGGAGAACAGCTGGCAATGCCTCTGGTAAGTGTTGGTATATTATTTGGAAATATTGCAAAATTTTGATTGTGTTGGCACAGTTCAACTCCAATAATGCCGACCCGTTCGTTTACGACGGTAACCCGCAAACCCGGGAAATAGTGCAACAGGTAATAAGCAAAAGAGCGTTAAGGGATGAGGATTTCCAACTGCTGGCCGAAGACACCAAGAAACTAGCCCTGACCGCGGGCAAAGAGCCGTTTTTCGAGGAAGCAAATTTCGAAGCACTGGCCAGAGAAGTCGAAGAAAAAATGACCGTGTTGTACGACGAGGTGTGTGTGTCTGTTTTCAACAGCTGTCAAAATACTTAGTTAACCGTTTGTGTTCATTTCAGGCGCCGTGAACGACCATGGTAAATGAAAAATATGAATAAACTGTAGAAATACACATATATAAATGGCAAACTCAAGTATCATCTGTTTGGTTTTTCAAAAAATAAACATCTTTTTAGTCTACCCTAGTTAGTTGTACGGCACCTGTACTACTGAAACGTTGATTTTGAGTGATCAAAAAGTGCAAAACAACACTTGGAAGCATTGGAAATTATCTGAACGAAAATATAGACTAAGGTCCATACGTATAAGGGATGACTAATAAGCATTATCAAAGTATTGATAAATATAGTGAAATTTGTACCTATAAATATAGGGAAAACGTAATTATCAAAATATTAATATTTTCCAAAAAATCCAGTGTCTTACATCAGATGAATTACACTGTATATTTAATGATTTCAGTAATTTTCATTTGACTTATTGTTTTACAAGATTGGACGCTCTAATTACAATTTATATTATTAAAACCTTGTAATAAATCAATTTTTACCTGCTTTTTCTTACTATTAAGAAAATGTAGGAGGTTCATAATGGGTAGCTTAACTAATTAGCTGGACATTATTTGATTGAAACGGTTCAAACAATTTTAAGAGATTTACATACGAGTCAGTCAACTTGCTGGTCAAACTAAAATGACTTCAGTCTGCAATAATTTATCAGTCTGATTCTTTATAAGTATGCAAACATACAAGTGAAAACTACTAAATAAATTGTGCGGTAGTTATTTGTGTACTCGGCTGAAATTATCACTGCACCTAAACATTATGAGGTACAAATCATTACTGTTTTTGCATCATTTGCTGTACACATACACAACAGATGTATTAACTAGACATAGATATATTATTAGTTAGTTGATAAACAGAGCAATATTGGTTTGTGGAGTAATAAAAAAAATAGCTGAACAATGTAATTATTATTTACCTGGCCGGCGTTTTTCGCAGCGGATCCCGTCACTCCAACAACGGCACAAACTGAAAATAAAAAAAAATTACACAATAAATTAATAACCTGACAAACGTTGATCACACTGTATATTTTTATATTAACATATGCAATTTAATATAACATATTATGGTGAAATGCAGGGTGAACCAATTATTGATAATTTTGTTGAGACTCGGATACCTACTAATATAGGTGATATTAGGTACTATCAGTGTTATGATTCAAATGTGAAATAATGAAAACGCCATTACCGGTAGAATAAAATCATTAGGTACAACATTATAATGTGTATGTATCTATAACGTGCGAGTGAAAAATAATTTTACTATCGACCGATTGGTTTTTTCATCATTGCCGATTGCCAGTCTGTCGGCGCCTATTAATATGGTAAAATTATTAAACTTGTATGGATCCAATAAAATCAACTATATACTCTATTGCCACACACAGTGATACTTTTTCACAATAGTAAAATAGTTACATATCGTTATTGAAAATAACCTTTGTGACATGACCAAATTTTGTGTAATATTTAAAGTCACAGCGTTTGTCCATAACATGTTATCATAAAATTTAAACTTTAATTTTTTTGGTGTACAAACCAAGTTGTTGCGGTCATAATGCGTTATTTAAAAAAAATGAATAGGCTGAAATATTAGAGATTACATCTCTCTATGCGGTTGCCACTCGATACAATTAGGTGCAATAATTGTATCCGTTTATAAATATTCATTAACTAACATAACATATTGTATGATAATACCTTCGAATTGGCAGTCGACCGCAACAGATTCTTTAACCCCCCCCCAAAGTAGTATATTGAATTAGAAACATCAGTGCAAGTTGAGTAATGTATTAACGTCCCACTTGAGCTGGCCGAGTACATCGGTTATGTAAAAACGCACCAAGTTCATATTATTGTTGTATTCGGTTGGAATTAAAACGAACAAAATTCAATTGAATTGTGCTGAAGGTTATCGCGTTATTTTTACATATCGTTTCCTGCCAATTTCAGACAATGATCTCTTGATGGTATTTCAACATCACAACGTTTAGTGTGGCTAATCAGTAATCCATATCTTTATAATATAATGGCCGAGACGATAGCAGCTAACAATAGAATTATTTTAAACGCACTCATTTCAGTCAAGAGTCTAGAATGGAATGTAATTATTCTGTGCATACATTATTTATGTACTCTTTATACTATGTACATAAACAATTATTGAAATAAACTGTTAAACCGCTATTGTAAGGCAGTATTAACTTATATTGTATTTAAAATGTGTTCTGTAAGAACTTTTACTCTTAATGAACAACTTTTAGTTTACACAGTTTGTAAGTATATGAAACGTTGATTTAGATTGTAAATTGTATAACATTTCCTTCAATTTAAATGTCTATTTTTAGAATCATGTATCGTACCAATTTTACCATTATATATGAATATAAAAACCGGAAATCCTAATTGAATTTGGGAAATTCACCAATGATTGTAAGAGGTGATAGTTTCTATACAAATTGAATAAGGTTTAGGAATTAAAATGCCGTGTAGATATTTTTTTTTAATCTTAGAAAAAGTAAAGCTATTATAAACTAAATCAATTTCACTGAAGATATTAGCTAACCATTCTGAAACGTATTAAGTGACCAAGACGTGTGTTATAGTATTTTTTTTTTTTTTTGTAGGTAATCTACAAAGTAAAGAGACAGAGCTGTCGATTTCGTTTATCTTAAATTGTGTGATTCCACTCACTGGGCGACACATGTATAATATTATATTGTACTATTATATACAAGCATTTTATAGATATGATTTCTACGATCATCATGTACTTAAATCCCGGCGCAACGTTCGATATAAGCGAAAAGTGCATTCACCATATTATTATTATTATTAAAGAATGCACGTTGGCAGAAAATTGTTTTTCACTTTCCGCGTTGTCCAGCACACCGCACCAACCGTGTGTATGTTATTCTAGTAATTCTATTTACTATACACCATGGCCCAGCATGTTGGATTATGCACGTTATGTTGTACCTGCGTACGATAGAGTCACATGGTGTACAAATGGCTGACCGCAGCTTTTACAGACCAGCTTAAACGAGATAAGACCAGCATGCAATAGCTGCATAGAGCTTTTCTTCTGTGTTCTCTCGTTCCCATCATTGCACTAATGATACTGATACCCTTTTTAGCCATAACAACGGCAATAGGTAGGTGGAAGCGTACTAACAAATTTGATCCAAAGTGCTTGGCAACCGCGGTTGGCTTTTCGGATCAAAGAGACTTTAACGCGCGCCGGTGTTGTCGGTAGCTATCGCAGCGAAAATCCACAATTGTTGGTTTTATAAACACACAATAATAATATTATGATCATTATTCATTCGAGAAAGTCACGTCCATTCCCGCTAGTGTGTAGGTTAACCCCGACGAAAATCACCAAGCATTCCGCCGGTAATCAAGCCACTGTATTGTCCATCAATATTGTAATACCTATATTTTATTATTGTATTTTTTTTATACAAGCCACAGCCGCGGCTGAATATGCCATCAGAGCCATGTCGATGAGATATAATTTCGACGGGATGATTAACGACCGTGACATTGAATCGCTTAATTTTTTTTTTCCCAGCTTAAAATTTATATGCGATTATATTATTATTAACATATTAGTTACGGACAGGCGAACGCGTCCGACGGCATTCGGATTGTGTACACAATGATATAAAAAAATAAATAATAAAAAAAACCGAAACCGGTGAAAGCACTTGTTTTGTGTGCGGCGTTGTCGCTGGGCTGACCAATATAATAAATTTAAAAAAAAAAATACTATGCTAATAACGGTAATGGCGTCTGCGGCGGTGCTGTTTGGATGTAATCGATAGGTCACGGCGGAGTAATCGAATCTGGACCGGTATAGGTACTTAATTATCTTGTATTACTATTATATTATATTTTATTATCAGAACAAACGGCTCGTGACGGGTGACCCTAACCCTGAGACCCCAATGGGGTGGATTAAAAACCAATAATTATCAATTGTGGACTAGCAAATCTCTATACGATCTCCTCTTCCTGGGCATTCCTATCACCTCTCCACAAAGTACCTACTCTTCCCACTGGTCCTTTTGCCATGTGATGCCTCACATATTCCTGTTCCAGTGTTCTGCCCTCCGTTCATTCCATTACTCGCATAATGTCTGTTTGTCGTTTCCTAATTGCTTATTAAAATTAACGCTTCATTAAAATATATCTTTGACGATTGCCAGTTTGTTTTACTAAACCGGACTATAGCGGTTTGATTCACCGCGGTGGAGATGCGAACGAATTCATGTCCGACTTGACCTTGCTCATGTGGGAACCAAGACGGCGCCACGGGGCGCTAACGAGAGGAGGTGAACGGAGGATTTTCGTTTTATTGTGTGTGTGTGCCCGAGATTAAATAATAATATCTAGTTCGTGCAAACGTTTAGATGATTTTATCCGCACCAATAATAATCGCTGCGTCGCGGTCGTCTGAGAGAAATAGTGTGTATGATTGTGCGCATAAATCAGACAAGAAGATCCGCCGGCAAACGGTCCAAACGATGAGATAGTGTACACAACAACAACAGCAACCGTGTCAAGGTCGCTGGAATCGATTTCATGCAATTGCCCGCCGCCGTTATTTTATAATAATATTATGCTGTCCAAACTAAAGCGACAATAACCTGAAAACCCGAACAATATTACACCTACGCCTAAAGACTAAAATTTAATATTATATTTAAACAATTTTAACTTTTTCTACACAAACTACCAAACGAAGGTGATTCGCGATGTCGTCTGGCGTGAAAGTCGTTTTGTTTAAAGAAAAAAAGTAAATAATAAGGCCTCCAGAGGTGATGGAGAAAACCGTCAGTAAAATAACCCACAAAAATCTTCTGCTTTTGTTTGGGTTTTTTTTTTCTTCATATTTTTAATTAAAAACATTAACCGACCACACGTTTGATAATAATTAAATAACACCGAAATACACAAAATTTAAAGAAAAATTGTTCGATACTAACGTCAAATGTTACAATTATTACTTTTCAACAGTTACCGAGTCAGTTAAATTAGTATAAATTGAATTTACACTTTCCAAATTACAACTTGTAATTTTTGACAACTTTGTAAATTTACTTTCGAGTTAAGTTCGCTCGATCTAATTCGATTGGGGCTATAAAGATGTTAAAAAAAAAAAACAATAAAACTTATATCTATTAAGCTGAACCCGTTTGTATAATAAAAGGTGTAAAATAAAAAGAAGATACAGCGTTTGTTAATACCGACAAATTTTATTGTATTTTATTACTTCACAAAAAAAAAAAACACTTAATAATCCATTTCTCACACTTTCTACCGCCGAAATATTTTCTTCGATATAATTTATCTAATTTCGGGATGACATATTTATACTTTAAATGAAACAAAAAAAAAATATGAAATTTATTTATTTAAACGTAGCATATTTTTTAGGAAGTGTTTAAGCGATTATTATATATACATTCACGGGAGAGGTGAAAGTATTAAATTATTGAAAAAATTACATTTATGTTTATTGTTTTTATCGACATTTGAATGTAACATAAAAAAAAAGTCTCTAATTTCCTATGCAAATAATTCGTTTTGTGCGTTTTATTACTTTTGAGTGATTACAAAGCAGTACATCGCATAATTACATCAGCTGAATTAGATACAGCGTAGTGCCTTTGGATAGAAACACATATGCTATATTATTATTACCTGCTATTATTGTTCATGGACAAGACATTAGAAAATCTAGTTCTGTCGATGCCGATTAGAAACTACCATATGGGAAAAATGTAAGACGCCAACGATGATCGATACCACGTTATAACAATACCGATAATAATAAACACAATAAGCGCAATAAGTTGGTAATTATTATTAAATGTATACATATATACATAATATAAACGTGGCGTATGACAATATCGACAGTGATATTAATTGGATTAATCACATTCGGACAATCGATTGGCAAGAGTGGTTTTTTTTTTTAATTGGTAACCGTGCCGCGGGTATTATAATGTGTGTCTCTGTTTGTGCGAGCGATATAGTAATATAACAGTTATTCTTGTTATTAAAAAAATATGAAATCGACAGACGGACTGATGATGCGATGGAAATCACATGTTTATGACTTTGGATAAAATTGTTTAGCTTAGATGCGGAGCTGAGAAGGTATTGTTTTTACAATGATGTGTTTTTATTTTTTATTTTTGTGTCTGGACTCACGATATCTCGTAAACCGCCGAACCGATTTCTTCGTGTAGCAACTCTATAGATCAGAAATCATACCTGGAAGGTACTCTAATGGGCCAAACATTTAAAGAAGTCACCACTTCCGCATCGAAATCGAGAAAAACACCCAAAAAATTTACAAATATTTCAACTTAAAATTACGATGCTCTATAACTTTTTTGAAATGTAGTGGAAAATGTTCCAAATTTATATGAATTGTTCTTCAAACTTAGTACTATCGATAAACATTAACAAACCAAAAAAATATCATAAACCCTTTCCCTTAAAAGGGATAGAAATTTTTTCTTTATTTTACTTTTTCAAGCAAAGTCTTAAAGATTCACATCTGAACATTAGGCCGAAGGTAGGTCTAAAATGGAACTACGAGTATAGCATATACAATTTTCTCAAAAATCTGTAGTCAAATTTTTTTTTTATTAAGGAAAACCCCCAAAAATAGGGTAAATTTACACTTAGGTCGTAGTCAGTTTCTAGGTTGCTATGTCCGAGTGAATCAAAAGTCAACAGGTAATGAAAATATTTTCATTCTATTGTTAATTACGATACAAGGGTAACTATGACAGTACATTTTTATAGACAGACGATCAACCCTTGTCGTATGCACCCTGCACAAGACTAAATATTAAATTTTAAGTACATTATTGCTGGTCCCACGATATCTTCTAAACCACTATAACTGGTTTGAACATACTATCCACAGATTCGCATCGAAGCGTTTATTTAAAAGTGATTTTATCACATTCAGTTATAATAAAATCTGTAGACCTGTGACCTCTCCGTCCCCACTATACTGGCTTTTATTAATTTTTGGTGAAATCACATTTATACCCAAATAAATGTTAGCAGCAAACGCTAGATTTCAATTAGATTGCATATTTGACACTTTTCAGCACAATATCTCAAAAACAGATAGGCACTAGACACTGCATCTTATGTATCCTAAACTTGTACGACACTTGTACTACGCCCATCCTCGCAAGTGCAAGTGCACGTGTGACAACAAGAGGTGCTGTATTTTGGAAAGTGATGGACTTTATTCAGAAAAATGTTTCTTACTCGTGCAAGACGGACCGACAAACCCGTCTTGACCGTTTTCCTGCGCTTTTCTGTGTGAAATAATTGTTATTATTTAAATTATTCTTCCATTGTGTCCGACGGCATGATAATTGGACGCGTTTCCGACGGGACACGTCGTTCGTGTCTCGGAAGCTCCTCCTCTTCTTATAATATTACAGTGTGTTTTTTTTTTGTACCGTTTTATTTGCTTTGGGGTTCGTTCTCACAATACTGTGTGCGTGTATATGGTAAATCTCTACTACACCTTTTGTTTTTTATCGATTCCGACCCCGTTAAGATATCTCAACACCGCGAGGACAAGACAAGTTAATAATTATTATTATCACTGTTGTTGCCGTCTGTGTGCGTGCCCGACCCGGCGGTCGGCATCGTGTGCTTTCTCCGTTAGGTATATCCGAGAACAACACGTGTGTCATCCGGAAACCGACGTCGCACCTATGCACTATGTTGTGATGTCACCCACCGGCGGCTCATGGAATAATACATTTAAATGTGACCCTTAAGACGAACGAATGCATTCCATGCACACGAGTCCACACACTATGTATGTCCTGATCGATCCGTCTCTAGCACTAAAAAGCCATGTAATATCTCTGACTTTGCACTTATACACTTATTACAATACTGCTATTTGGAGTAGGCGTACCAAGATTTACTACTCATAGAATATCGGTAACAACTAAGCACATTCTCCTCGCTTGGTGTGCTTATAGTTGTTACCGATTTAAACTGTTTTCTATCTTATCGTTATCGAATTGTTACTTAAATTGTTCTTTTGAAATGACAACGATGGATGCCTACCATGTATAAATATAATTTCGCAATATTGTGTAGAATGTGTCATTTTGCATAAAAAATAATAAAATGAAAAGTTCTGTTGTAGGGGAAATTATGCAGTCGTTGGCACATAGTAAAATGGTGTAGCAAAATATATAAAACATAATAGCTTAGTAAGTTATAATAGAATAAATGTATAAAAACGAATATTGGATATAATAATATTCAATCAATAATACCATGTGTATAGGTAACCATCGATTACAGATTAATAATACTGTTCAGATGTTCAAACAAAAAAAATTGTATTAGTTTTTCTAATAAAAAATTACAAAAAGTTATACAAATACTAAAAAAAAAAAGGGCGTATAAGGAGTATACATTTATTAGAAACACCCATGTGTAGACTTAAATAAAAATGGTTGTCACATTTTTAGCATCTTTTAATGAAAAACTTGAAATATTATTTTTTACAACCGAAAAACAATTATAAACATTTATTGTAACGTGCAATGACTTTTCTAATATAAAATCATCAAATTATGTTTAGTCAATTAACTTACTATGAACTATTATAACATATTTTATTCAAGTATTCTGAGAAAACAGATAAGTTGATATCTAAATATAGATTCATATGGGGTTTTTCAAGCAGTGTAAGCTCTAGATTATTTTCTAATCTAGGTTTCAATTAAACTAAGTATGAATTTTGAAAATTTTCTTTACTATCACATAATTTGTTTGTAAATAATTGAAATGTAAAGTACAAGTAAGATAATTAATGTGTTTAAAAAACGAACGTGGACCTTATATTTTACCAGATTGTTAGACCCAATAGACTAGGTCCTAGAATATTGTAATATTATGTTATTAAATACAAGCGGTCGACAACCTTATTACTCGCCCGGCGGGTACGAAACGCCAAGATTAATTATTATAGAGGTGATAATAATCAAGCAGGAGGCCTCGTCGGTTTGTTTTGACTAACACGGTGGTGATGAGCCCATGACAAATACTTTTGGACAATATTAACACAACCGGCTATTAGTCGACTGTCTGCATAAATCAGCCACGGCGATGGCACAAGATGAGTATATAATATAGTACTTTACATGCGTAATGCCCGGTTTGTATAATAATAATAATAATATATTGCCATGACCTTTTACAGCTGTTGCTTGCTTATATAATATACACACACCGACGACTTTGGCAAATTCCTAACCTACCGTTCTCTTCAAATAAAAAAAAATTCTGCACTATTGCCAGTATCGCGTTTCCAAAAAAAAAGACGTTTGCTTTCTAAAACAATATATTATCCCTTTTCTCAAACGTGTGCACCATAAAAAATGTATATATTTTAATACTCACTTAGCAACAAACACCGAGCTCGGTCCGTTATAATCCAGTTGCGCTTCATCTTGTCATCTGTGAGTGGAAAACTGCTGTAAACACACAAAAACACCGTTTAAACATGATTTCTCATAATGTACTACTACTAGTACTATAGTGTGTGTGTGTTATTGAAATTGCCAACGCAGTCAAGGTAAGGTATAAAGGTGTAAAAACAAACTAAAATAACGACACGAGCGACGGATTCGGCGACGGCACTTGGAGACTGTCTGCGGCCAACGTTCGTTGACAGTGACACGGACCACGGTGTGCCTTCGAACAACACAGGAACCGTGGGGGAAAAATAATTGTTTGGGGGAAACGCTTCCAAAGAAACCGAATCCATTCATTATATTGTACTTATTTTTTAGTTACATGCAAATACAACTATTGTGTTGTACTAGGCTGTTGGACAGCTTAGCTAAGTAACGACGTTTCTGATCCCGCGTTAAAGTCTCCGCCGCGTCTTGTTTTCCATTAGGAAGCATAACAATATTATGTTAATTGACCAGCTCATGTGAAATGTAATGGAAATTTATTGGAAATTGCTTGGGGGAACAAGTGACTAATATCTTATGTTGCAGGTTTATTGCTTGGTGTATTCTCAACCGAGTAAACCATCTCTTCAATCCATCGCCTTTTCTCTATCGACAAGAAGACTCATCACAACCATTGTTCGAGTCCGTTACAGCCTTAAAAAAAAACTCGCGTTCGTTTGCCATAGAAAAAATAGGAGTTTAATTACTCTTAAAATCAATCAATGTAAAAAAAAAACAGAATATTTTGCCATTTAGCGGATTTTTCGATACGGTGCCAAAATGAGAACCGGCAATGACGTTGCCGCAAACCCGTCTTTAATAACAATAATACTATATTAAGATTTCGGCAACTCATATACGTACTTAGGCAATATAATAGCGTCGGCACGTGTGTACATATGGCACAATAAAAGGCAGAGTACAGATTCTAACAGAGTCTAACAGATTTCCTATACCTCTACAGTCTGCATCTCTAGGTACGAATTTCCCATTGCATGCCTGCCCAATATTTTTCAAATTCTATTAACGCGACAACGGCCACGTCGTGTGCTCTACAATTTTTTTTGTTATTAAACGTTATTATCATTTCCAAAAGATAAAGTGAAAATGTTTTAACTCGTAAATATCATGAATTTCTTATTTTTTTGGTGGGGGGGAATGGATTGCAAACAAATCAATAAAATCGTGCCCTTTGTGTAATACACTATCATTCACAAATCACAAATGTCTTATCGCTTAACCCTAGTCTCTTATCTTCTATCACTCATCACTAACAAAAATCTTATCTCTAACTGAAAACTACATGAAATGTCTTATATCCAGCCCAGTCTTGGTAGTCGACGGAAGAAGAAGAAGAAAACAGTGTACAGACACAAGTGCACGTGTTCGGTCTGTGATGTCACACATGTCTTGGTCCGTCCTGCGAACAATAGCCGAGAGACGGCTAGAAGTGGTAATAATTGGTAAAAATTGTATTCATCGCAGACGTGTGCCGGACGCCATAGTGCCATGTGCAGACAAAATAATAATAATAACGCTATATTGTACATTATATTATTATATTTTAACAAACGTTCCGGGTCGGTTGACTTTGTGGAATCATTGTGTACGGTAAGTTTTCACCGTCTAACGTGTGTAAACCGGTGCGTTTAATTCAAATTGAAAACGACAAAACGGCGGGGACGAAATAACATCAGCACAATGATAATTATTATTTTATATTATTATCATTATACAACCGACAGTAAATTTTGGGGGTAAAAGTCGTCCCGTGTAACCAAATCGACGGATTTGACAAACAGAAATGATTGAAAAAAAAAAACACACACATTTCATTTGTCTTGAACGCATTTGCTTAGAAAACAAAGTATTAAAATCTTAAACGTTCGCGGTCCGGTGCATACATTATAATAATTGTTGCTATTGTTTTATTGTTAGTCTTTACAACGATCGATTTGGGTACTATCGATTGAGACAACAGCGGCTACGATGAATCTCTGTAGATCTCGATACGATAATGGTTGACCTAGATACGATTGAGATTCGGTTAGATTGTCACGACCGTTAGATTCTCAGGTAATGGTTAAATAAGAACATTTTGAGAAGTTCAATATCCGACTTGGTCGCTGTACTTTTAATAGTTATTTACATATAATGAGTATTTATATTTTTTTGTTAAACCTTTTTTCTTACACAGGCTGGTAACATTAGAAAGATTACTTCTGTCTAAATAATAATAATAATAATCTTTTTATACCACAAAGCTATAATGCCTATTGTAGAATACCGGTTTAATTCACTTTGACAAGTGTATAAATCCGATTGGAAAACGATTGTGTCGGTATTTTGTTGTCGGATATTGTTTGATTTTTTATTTTTACCACGTATACCCAATACTATTGCCGGTAATAATCGATCAACGACGATCGGACCGTGCTAATGTAGATCGTTTGTACGCGTCTTAATCGTGACCGGACCAACCTACAATTAGGTAGGTGTAGACGTTTAGCTAATAAACGGTAATAATACCAATCGCCAAAGCCGTGTGTGCCATAGGAATTAAATTGTTTACATAATAAATATTCGTCTGTGCGTATCGTGCCGATTATTATTGTTACGTAACAATACAAATTATGATAGCTGTTAATGTAGTTAGACAATCATTGAGGCTGTTTACTGCAAGTCGTCTCGTGCACATATTATTTCTCTCACAATAAATTACCCGTACCGTGAGAGCCTGATTAATGTGTGGAATTAGTGGAAAAAAAATTGCGAATTTATTCTGTTTTCGGACAACACTCGTTGTTGTTATTTAATGTGCCCAAAGGAAATTTGGGTTTTGCTGCGATGCATCCCGTTTATTGAATCGTTCGGTAACAACCGGATTCGGTATCATCTTCACCGCGTTCGAGGTTGCGCAATTTTTTTGTACAAATAGCAAGTAAAAAAAATATCGGGGAAAGTTGTGAAACCAATCCCAGGAAGAAACCGATAAAGATGATAATGTTATAATATTGTGTGTGTGAACCGTGTAACCGACCGACCTTCACCTTTCTAGCCAAAGAAGCGTCCGACACACGATCCACCCATGATGTCACGCGAAGGCTTACGAATTATATCATACCTTCGCCCATTATTTACATTAAGAGTATATAATTCGTTAACAACACATAATATCCGACCAGAAACGGTTAAGTTTTTATATATATATTTGTATTTAATAGGTTTCACAAACGCGCATTACACTTGGCCGGCGCTGCTTTTGGCTTGCACAATTGTTGTCCAATTATAATACACGTAATTTTCCCCCCTAGTCTGGTCATAGATTAAAATATATATGTATAGTAAATCGAACGTTTATTTTAAGTATACACTTTTTAATCTGCGGTCTAGTATTATGGACCAGCCCAATCGCCAAATATAAAACTTATTAGGTAAATAAAAAAACATGTAATTACGTTTCCACCAACTCTTTCCAATTTATTTATTGACATTAATGTTGCGAATAACACAATTTTCGTAGAATAAACGGATTTTTTTTATCTGCTTAAGATTGGGGTCTTAGATTTACAATTAAGGACAATAGTACCTTGGTCTAGGAGTTCATATTAAATGTATGATCAAACACGAAATATTTTAGAATTTGTGATGATATCAGTTCAAATCATGTTTGAATATTACGAAAAATAAATAATAATAATCTCAAACTTTATAAAGAAAATATTATTTTTAACATGTTGATTCAGTTTAACAGGGTGATTCATTTTGGGTAAGACACTATATTTCTGGGAAAATATGAACATTAAAAAAAAAAAAATGCCTATACTTTTAGGTACACATTGTACTACATTTTTCAACACTGTGAAAATTTGTATCTCCAACCCTTAGACAAAAAAAAGGGGGTAAGACATCACTTTTTCAAATGGCAACAATTGTTTTGAATTCCATAAATATGTAGACAACAATTTTAAAAAAATGCTATTGTTTGAATTTTGAATTTTTATCCATTTGTTCGCTTGTTATGACTGTAAAGATTAAAATTGTTGTCTATATTTCTTAGTATTTTCATTCGGTTCAACGAAGACAAGTAGTTTTATTACACCGGTCATCACATAAAATAATAATTTAGTAGATAAGATCCAGATTTAGTAGATATTTAGGAGAAAATGTAATATCTTTACAAAGTCATAACTAACGAACAGATGGATGAAAATTGAAAATTCAAACGATAACACATTTTAACATTTTTCGCCTACAAATTTATGGAATTAAAAAGATACGTTGTCATTTGAAAAAGTGAACTTGGACCCTTTTTGTCGTATAAGGGATAGAGATAAAAACGATCAATGTATTGAAAAATATAGTACACAAAGTGTGTCTTACCCAAAATGAATGACGATTATTAATGTTCTTTAAATTAAGGATAAAAAAGGGCATCGTAGTTAAAAAAAAAAAAAAACACTCCTTTTTGGGGTTCGCGTGGAAGCTGAAAAATGTGACACATTCTCAGTAGTGCAAAAACCTTAGAATTATTATACTATAAGAAGAACACAATTTTCGTTTACACCCGCGCACGGTCGTCGTGCATGAGAGTGAAAGCCAAATACAGAGATAATAACACTAGGTGTATGCAGACTGCGGCACGTATGCTCGATGATCCTGTAAACGTTGTTGATGATTCACATGCACACAAGCTGTACACAAGTGTGACGGCGGGGCACGCCATGTCGAAACGAACCGAAGGAATGCACACACGGCGTTACGAATCTTGGGAATTGAGATTGCGCTGGCGTGGGAGGAGAAGGATAAGATAACGCCGCCGGCTGGTGGGTCGACCTGTGCGCATCAACGTGATATTAATAATATTATTATAATGTATTAAAAAAATTAAAATACAAATAAATACCTACGCTATTTTTACATATTTTTTTTTTCATAGGTAATTTCCAGATGAAAGTGAAAACAATATGACGTGCAGCCGCGGGAGGTCATTACGACCGGGAACGGAAAATATT